GCCAGCAAATAGCAGTAACAGAATTCTTCCAGTTAATGCAAATACCAGTGAAGTGGGAGAAAGACTCTGCACCTCACTCATTTCCCTTGAGACTCCTAAATGGTCCTTTTGATGCCGTGGATAAGAACAAGATGGCTCCCCCTCCACAGTCCCCATAAATGCTGAGCTGACTGGGAGTTGAATATTATTTTAGCATTAACAAGGAGCAAGTGTCCTCCACAAGACCCGAATCAACAGGCTAGCTTAGGGACTTCGGGACGGGTTGCGGAGCATACAGGAGTCTCTTTTCCAACAGCGGGGAATAGATAATTCATGAGAAACAGCCTCAAGGCTGCTGATACTGTCTGCCCTGTTTACAACCTGAAGGAATTACATCATAGTACCTAATGACAGGAATGGCCTTGTAAATGATCATCAAGTAGCGAAAAAAATGTGAGCATGTTAGAAATGTGAAACTGACATATCAGCCCATGTGGCTCACAGATTATTATGGTTGTACAAGTGCACAATTTCTCTTCATATTTTCCCAAACACAAGACGCAAGATCTTCATTATGAAAACCAGTCTGTCTGTTGTAAGTGAGCAAGTCAGTGTGTCCGTTATAACTTGAGATGGCAGAATATATTTCCATTTATTCCAGGTATGTATGTGACCATAAAAGACAAGCCAGCTGCTTGACAGAAACAGCAATGCGCACAGCCCTTCTCAATAGCTTGCTTTTTCTGAAAAAAGAGCAGCTTGCCTTTTTAGAAAGTCTGAGATGTGAAAAGGACTTCATATAACAGCTACCAGAAATCCTAACCCAGGATAGCCATTGGTCTAAATTCCTCAACTGGTGGCCATAGGGGTTCAGGGATTCTAGGAGCCGTAGACCAAAAAAGTAACTTTACCATGGATCTAACCATGTGTGGCCTTAGCTAAATCACGCATCTAACCATGTGTGGCCTTAGCTAAATCACGAAGAAAAGACTTGGTGATTCGTTTCATACAAATATGAAATAAGACTTGCTGGATCCAGTCATGGGCCAACCTACTCCAGTAGCACTTTGTATGGGGAGTTACCCTGCTCGCTGAGGAATTTGGAAAGCTCATGAGTTGGTCTTCAGTGCCACAGTCCTCCTCCCCCTTGTCTCCCTCTAGCAATTAATATTCAAAAGCAGCGTCTGATTGAGCATCACAGCTAACAGCATTTGATAGTTCTATCCCCCACATATTTATCTAATCTACTTTTAAAGCTATCTAAATCACATGTGAGATTATAAATTCTTTGAGTTAATGAGGCATTGTTTTGTCTTTCTGGGATCTTCTGCCAGTTAATTTTGTTAGGTGGTCCTGAATTCTAGTGTTTTGAACAGAGTAGCTCCATTCCTTTCTACCACATTTTCCTTTCCTTGTTTAAATTGATAGACCTTTGACATGCTGCCTTTTCATCATAACAATCATGTGCCATCAAGTCAGTTCTGACCTACGGTGGCCCGTTCTTGGTTTTTCTAGGCAGAAAGTACTCAGAAGTGGTTTGTCATTCTCTTCTTCTTATAATAGTCCTTCTAATTTATAAAAGCTCAGTTTGCAGTAGCATCTCCTTTAAAGTTACTTTTCACCTGAGGCAACAGAATGTTTCACATTGGTGGTCTGCTGTTGCATTGGATTGTACTGTACTATTTTTTTAAAGCTTGTTATTAGTCTCCTTGGATGTCTTTTGAAAGAGAAGTGATAAGTGAATAGATATATTAACAGAAACAGATAAATGCTGGACATTTTCATTAGGTGCCTGATTGAGGAGTAGCAACCTTCACAATGCTAACCATTTTGTTAGCATCAAAAGAGAGAACAGCCATTTTTACAGATGAGTTAGTCCAGAGTGAATGTTATGGTCACTGAGATTTTTTGGCAAACCTGTGCTCACCTTACTAATTCTTTCCCGGTCTTTTCCTGTATTTATTCAACAATATCTGTTGAATATCATTAAATAGCAAAGCGAATGCCGCTGGGGTGCTGTTTAGACACATGACCAAACCTTCTGTTTCCATTCAGGTCAAACTAGACATTGGCTTTGCTTGGTGTGTAGGAAGTCCCAGTTAGAATACGCCCACTGAATAGTGAGTTTCTGATGTGACAACTGCCCCGCATGTTCTAGCGGTTCAGTGGTCTTACTTCAGTCGTCAGGATTTCAGTCAGTGTGTTAGACAAATTGTCACTGCATTATTGTTATTTACTGTCAGATCACTTCTGATTTATGCCAACTCTATGAATTAATTACCCCTGAAAGGTCCTATAAGTAGCAGCCTTCACCAGCAACTGAACAACAGATTTAAAAATAAAAAATGCAAAGAGGTCTGGATTGCAACTGAGGTGGGTAGTGAAGGAAGCACTGAGCCTTTACTCCTTTCCCAGCCCCAGCTAGAAACCAACCCCACTGCCATGATGGCTGGTGTTTCATTGTCAACAGCAGCCATGGGGAGGGGGTGTGTGCAAATCTTGTTGGAGCTTGGGAGGGGCCAAAGCATGAAAAACCCTTCTATCCCAGCACGGTACCCTTGGCCTGTCTTGTCAGAATAGGTCTATTTCCCAGTTCATTGTTATTATTATGAGATTTTTAGTCTCCAGGTCTGTAAACACAGCTGCTTCCATCAATACAAAAGCAGTGTGCTACTTAATTAAAAATATGATTACTAGTTTTTATTATTTACTGCCCTTCGGCAACAAAACTTGCTCTAGAGACCTCAAGAAAAAAAACTATTTAAATTAACACCATAACAATGACTATAACCAAGGTCTATTGAGTTTCTTTTTGTTGTTGTTGTTTTTAATCTTTCTGAAATGAAGTAAATGATGTCCCTGGGAAATGGTGGATCAGACACTATTGCAAGGAGAGGAAAATAATCCCACATCTCTTTAGATTTGTGCAAACACCTGCCAAGAATCTGTTCAAACAGATACCTCTCTTAATTGATGTGTTTTTCAATCAGACTTACAGATACATCAGGCTTACAGATACTGAGAATGCCTTTAGTTGTGTGCTTTTAGTCCAATTTATTGTCCCTTCGCTGAAACTATGGATAAAAAATAATATTCTGTTTAAATTCTAATGTGAAATTACACCGTTTCTACCTTCTGGACCCAGTCAGGACCCAAATAAAAAATTTGATCAGAATTTGTACCTTCCTGAGCTTGTGATGGAAAACCAACAAACAACAAAATTGGCAAGTGGTGTTTTTTTTGTTGTTGTTATTTTTTGCGGGGAGAAGTGAAACATTAAAAAAAAGTTAGAACAAAAAAATTTCATCCATTTTGAGAAATGGACAGGAAAATACATCCAAATTCCCAGGCAATTAAAAGAGCTCACAATCAAACTCAAACACCAGAATGGGCTTGATGCTGGAAAAATTGCAATGCCAGTGTAATTTCATAGGCATTCTTCAGTCTCAAGAGACTATGGTAACATGCTCTATATGGAGGACTTGGAACAGCATCTAGTGTTTTGACGCTGTATGTAAAGCTGGAGTGTCCTCTCCAGAGCATGAAGACTGGGTAAAATAATATGGAGGATAGGCTGTTACCCAAGCAGGAAATCCTCCCTCTCCACATCGCTGAAATAGTCCAAATGACACTATTTCAGTGTAATTTACAAATTTACATATTCCTAGCTCAAAGATTTATTTATTTATTTTTGCCCTTTGTATTCTGAGAATTCTTATGTTTATTAAAACTTGCTCATACTCTGAGAACATATACTCTTTCCTGACATTGTTTTATTTCTGGTACTTCCCGCTCTGTGTTAATTTTTGACATTAATATCATGGTTTATGAATGGGTAATATGCAGCTTCGTCTATTGGCAATATCAGCTGATTCCAATTATTTTCAGCATCCAGAAAAATTGGTCTTTTGTTTCTTGATGAATACCATTAAGCGATAAAGCTTACCGTGTGTGCTAGCCTATTTGTGTGTTATCACACAATAACAATAACAGTGATCTGTGGCCTACATGAGTTTATCACATGGTTGCTTACTTTACTCATGCCAGCTGCATTGCATGCATGCATTCACATTTAACCTTGTGCTTGTGGAAAGCTTACGTAACAAGGGCTCTATCAGATGGGCATTTGGTCCACTGCTGGAATGTATTATTTCACTCTTTTTTTTTCCTGGTGATCACATGATGTAATCGCTGAATGGAAATCAACTATCCCCCCAGAGCGATCCTACCTATACTTTTCTGTGCCCCTGTCAGCGGCTTCTACTTTTTTTTTATTTTTTAGTGCAGATAGGATTACTCTGTTTTGATCTGTTTACATCATGTGAGATTGCTGGGAACGGATCAAAAGTGCACCTTTGCAGCTGTCAAGGCTCCTTCCGATTGGAATTTCCACTATTGTGAAGTGGCTTGATTAATACGCAGGATACTGGCAAGTTGAACATTTCCTCTTCTCCTTAGTGAAAGGTAAGGGGAAGTGAGATTTCTGGTATTTGAAATGAAACTATTGCTGATGATGATAATCCTTTAAAAAGAAAAGAAAAAGTTTTCTTCGTTTGTTTGTGTGAAGAGCTACTCAAGAAATTGCCTGCAGCCAAATCTGTGGATTTGGCTACAGGCATTTTCTTGACTGGTCCTTTAAGAGAAACAAACAAACAAAAACACGACATTTTTTTTTCTTTTTAAAATGACGAAGCAT